TTGGTGTTTCACACATACATTTCTCAACAATTCTTTCTCACACGCTGGGTACTCGAATCTATATGAGTGACTTTGTATAGAATTATGAACACACCCGAGAAACTACATGATTACTACTATTTATACTAAAACATCCCAAGTAACCGTCGGGCAGTTACACTGCTTCGAGATGAGTCCACTTGGCACGTTCTCAACGTTCGACGCTCCAGATCTTTGCACGTTGCACTTGGTAACCGCTGGAAACCATTTTCCCTCCAAACGCTTGAATTTCAAACTGTTCCACTCTGAACCGTCGAACACTTTCGTCGAGAAGCATCTTCGACGAGAAACACCTTCGACGTCGAAGGCAACCAACTTCTCCCTTGGAAGAAATCTTCTAAGTACCTTGCCATCTTTCGATGGGCATTTCGACGGACCTAGCTAGTCGAAACCATCCTTCAGCTTTAATGGCTGACATTAATAAAACAAGGGTGTCGAATTTAGGAGCCAACAAGACTATCCTTGATATGAATGGTATTAAACCCGGTGCTACAAAGAAATAAAAGATCAAGGAAATATTCACCCATGAAGAAAGGTATTGGCAAAAAGACCACAAATTCAATGTGAAATGTCTTATTTACTTAAAATTCGAGATTGCTTGAAAAAAGCAAGTGTTGATTACACACATTGTACTGGTCAACTCATTATCAATTGTCCGGTTGAAGTATACTTTCTGTAATGATGGTTTGTAAGCAATAAATAAATAAAGTTATAATCTTCTTCCCGTCATTATAGTTTGTAATCGATAAACAAATAAATAAATAAACTTATAATCTTGTTAGTTAAAAGATTAATGTGTCTTTTGTTTTTATTATGTCCAAAATTGTTAACAAATTCAAAATCCTTTGTTGGTGGTGGGTTAAGGCTAAAAGTACAAATGTGTTTTTACGATATAAGTTCTCGGTAGACTATATTGCTGCTAATAGTGAGCATTTCTTGTAATTTGGTTTGTTGTTGTTGTTTATCTATGAACATCGTTAAAGTCATGTTTGTGCTCCTTGCCTTTCCTCCAAGTCTTGTCATCATAGAGAGTGAAATCAAACTAACGCTTTCCCCCAAATCGCATAATGTTCCAGAAATGAAGTTTACATATTGTGCAAGGTATGATGAAACTCTTTGGATTTGGTTATTTTGGTGAACGTTTCCTTTTAATGATGACACTACACCCTTATGACAAGTTCACTATCTCATTGCTCGAATGTTTTATTTTCTTTGTTTAGAGTTTTTCATAACTTTTGCATAAGCAAATATTTTTTGAAGTGCCTCAGAAAATGATACGCTGAAAATTGTTGAATAATGTTTGGAATTTTCTGCATTTTCCTTCTTTCAGATGTTTCTTTTTTAAAGGTGGGTATGATAATTACTTAAGAGATATAATTTATTTCCCTTTACTTTTCTTTAATTATATCGAAGAGAATGGTAAAAAGTTGTTATATTTTATTCTTCAGTCTCAGACTAGTTTATATAGTAGGAATACCATAAATTATAATTAATTCACTCTTTAATAGATATTTATCATGCCCAACTTGTCTATCAAATACTCAAAGGTAGGTCTTGCCAAAATTTTGGCCAGGATATCTGCAATTTGCTGAATTGAAGTCACAAAAGATATGATTATGGCATCTAACTTCTCCTTTATGAAGTGCCGATCAAATTAGAGTTTGGACTTTCACAAGGATAATTGGACTTTTAATGTCTCAATTGACTTTCATGGATCATTATGGACCTTCAAGAATTCTCATGTCAAGTTTCAAGTCTTGCAGTTCAAAATCGCTCAGTCAATTGGCCAGATGACCTAAAATCAGCTGTATTGAATAAAAAGTCAATTGTGGTTAACTTACAGTCAAACTTCAAGATTTCGGACCAATATCAACATTTGAAAGTCATATGTATCAATTGATCAAGTTTGGATCACAATTCCCCAAGGAAGTTGTTTAAATCACCAAAATGGCAAAATAGTCAAAATTAGGGTTTTGACTGAGAATGACTAATCTTTGACTTTTGATCTAATACATGACTTTTGGTTTGAAACATGATCTCAAGTATTCAAATGTATCATTTTCACTTAATTGCATATCTCAATTCACTTCTGATCAATTGATTGATAGTTCAAACTTGGTCAACTAATGAAAAAGTCAACTGTAGCACCAAAAGTCAAACTTTGACTTTTTGGTCAATATTAAGTTTCAAAGATCAAAATTCGTCAAGACATTCAAGAATATCAAACTTGGTCAACAAGAATAAAAAAAGTCAAGAAAGTCAATTTGAAAAGTCAAACTTTTCAAGACTTAGAAATTTTTCTAAGTGTTTTGTACATGATAATTTCACTACTTCGTGCTAATTTGTCACCACGATGCATGATGATTCAAAGGAAACTTTCAACATGAAAGTTGTAGATCTTGATAAATTCTACAACTTTGTATTAGAGGATTGATGTCCAAAAACTGCTTAGATTTGAAGATACAAGCCCATGAAGTCATAACATTTTCATCAAACACTTAGAAATTTTCAACAGATTTTGGTCAGTTTTTGTCTCTACTTCTTGGCCATTTTTCATCAAGTTTCGATTTGATTTAGCCTAAATGGTCAACATGAAAGTTGTAGACAATGTTTCAAACTTTCCAAAACATCCAAGAGCATGAATTTATCATACTTAAGCTAGGAGATTCAAAGGCATGAAGTTGGGCATCTATTCTTGAACTGCAAGTCATTTTGGTGAAGAACACATGATCCAATCTACATGTTATGCTGCATAATCTTATATTACAAGCCTTCTTACTTTCAAATCTCACCCTAATTTAATGTTTACACAAAAGCTTGAACCATTTCCCAAGAGATACAAGCCATTATTGTTAATGTAATATAACTTTTAGTAAATCACCCATAAATGATATTATTTCTAGTTACTGTCAATGTTTATTTTTAATAAACAATCTAAATATCATAACAAAACAAAACAAAGTTAATAAAACAATAATATTTAATATTATTTTATATTTTAATTATTTTATTTTAAAATAAATTTTAAATTTATTTAATTTTATTTTATTTTAAAAATAAAAAAATAGATGAATTAAACTCTGAAAAAGATTTTGAATATGTCTTAGAGATCAAATAGTATAAGTTGAATTTACTATATTTCAAATAAATCATAATATAAAATAATAAAAAAAAAATTCAAATTATATAAATAAATTTATATTTGTTCTCTATAAAAAAATCACATGTGGAGCTAAATCGATACAATTAATTTTAAAATATACTTTTCTTTTACCATTAAAAGCAAAGGAAATATCAAGTTTTTTTTAACAAAAACATTAATTAATTTATTATATTTGTTGAAAATAATTATATTCTTCATCAAATAATATTTGAATATTATTAGTATTAGTTAGTAATATTAAACTCAATTTATTTACCCATCAAATTCATGTAATCTTCTCATCCATATTCAAATTTCCAGCTGTGAATCAAAACCAAAATAATAAATAATTAAATATCTTTAACTTTAATTATATTGAATATATCCTTCTCTATTAATCCTCCAATACAAATTTGACACGTGAATACAATTCACCTATTTCTTTTTTTTTCCTTTTCGAGAACAATCTAAATATCATAACAAAACAAAATATATATTTTTTTTTAATATTTTGTTAATAAACCACCCCTAAATGAATTATTTCCACTTACGGTCATCGTTTACTTTCACTAAACAATCTAAATATGTGATGAGAAACTTAAACTTATCCTCAAAAATTAATTGCCCACTCATATATAGGATGGACTACAAAAGATTATATTCTAAAAGTCAAATCTACAAACTATTTTATGCATATATTTCAAAAATAAATGAGAAAAACACACCATTCATTGAGTGTAACATGACAATAACATCTAAAAAACAATATAGAACATTGTAACAACTTTAAACACGTTAGAATATTTTCACATCAATCTATTAACAAAAAAACAATAAAGATATTTTCACATCAATCTATTAACAAAAAGTAATGAAGATTCAAATTATTATTATTATTATAGTTTAAACTTGAGGAATAATCACATACATAGTCGTACTCGGATTGTGCGATCCTACATCTCAAAGTTCTTCCTCAATGCAACGTGTACTTTCCTTAATTAAGGTATATCCTCCTCCATTAACTTCATGACATGTGGTCTTACTTTACAGAAGTGATTCATATTTGTTATTAATAGTGAAGAAAGAATTCTAAAATGACAATAATATAAAAATGGTAACTAATCTTCTCCAACCTCGTCAAATACCGCATATGATGTTGAGAAAAATTGGATAGAAAATGATTAATTTTTTTTGACAAGTTTATAGTTTTCATAGAGCCCTCTCATATGTTCCACAAATTTTTATAGAACGAATAATGACTTTGTTATGCTGTAAGCACCAGTCCACATATGATTCCAACACAATTTAGCAACAATTTCAATTTGTAACATCACAACCTTATTAAATCGATTTGTATATAAAATTCAGAGGAAAATTACTAATAACAATAGCAATTAGGAAAGAAACATGGCAAGTAGTGTAATCGCCTGGTGAACCACCAATATACGGAAGTGTAAATTTGTAAACACACACATCAAGAACAACTACTGAAGTTACACATGGTTAGTCAATTCAGACAATTCAGACAAGTAATCAGATGCACTGACATCTATGTTATCAATATGGCGCAGTCATCTCTAAAAATGGAACAGAATGAGAGTGAGAAGCAAAACGGCCGATATTTAACTAACGTGGATACTAATATAGTTAATATTAATAAACAAATAATTGTCAAAAACTAAAATAAATTAATCAAAATTCATGAAGTATTCATATTTAGAAATAAGAGTCAGAAGTTTTGAGCAAAACATATTTGCAAATGCCAATTAAACTCAATAAAATAACCTTGCTATCCTTAAAAATTCAAGGATAATATAATTTACGGCTGACATTGCCAGAGCATCCGCTTTGACGTGGCATTGTTTAAATCCAATCCCATTATTACAGTCGTTCCAGCCGAGTCACCTATATGTGATGGAACGACACGGCTTGACGAGGTTTTCTTGATTTTGCTGTTTTGTGCAGTGATAGTGGTCGAAACAGCCGAGTTTAATAACATAGACCAACATATGGTAGAAGCAAAAAGCTTAACTACCTTTAGTCCTGCTGGAACAACCTGAAGGCAACCTACAACCCCTAATTGTACTTTCAAGTTCCCTTCGTCCTTGCTAATCCCAAGCACGGCCAATCCGTAACCAATGCAACTGAGACATACCACAATCAGAGCGTTTTCATGCTCAAATTTAGGGAACAAATATAAACATAACAAACTTTTGATTAGATTAGTAGCATAAATAAAAGTCGGATACAATATGAGAAGCATAACAGACTGCCTAGGTCGTATTAGGCTTTTGCATATTCAATTCAATGTAGTAACTAGTAAGAATATAAAACCTTTAAATCAGAACAATGGTTCGTTCAGAAGATTACATATCATTTGATAAGTTCAGCCATTGCAAATTTAAGATCACAATAATGTACAAAGAATGTAGTTTAGAAGGAAAAAGGATAGCAGAAAAATAGAGGTGGCAAATATGAATGAATGCGTAGAGCTTTTGTATAGTTCATTTTTATAACATCAATTAGTATAGTATCAATTACTTCGCACAGGCCACATTCGTGTTCAAATATGTTATGAAAGAGTTGATATATAGAATACAATATTTATATTGACTTAGAATCTAACCTATAATCTATGAGGTTTTTGAGTTTGAATGGTGCACGAGGTACTGCATTATTACTTATTAGGCTTACAAATCTGAAACTCAATTTAGGCTTAGGGGTACAAATATGCACATATGAGAGGTGCACGTGAATGCAATGCTAGTATTATTGATTTGAGCAAAGTAAATTAATTTTAATGAATGATTGTTGTTGATGTTTGCTACTATTATGATAATTATTACCTATACGTTAATAAAAAATAATTTTTTGATTGTTGTTTATTTATCAGTTGGTTCCTATAAAAAGTTAATTTAGACAAATCTTGGCCAAACATAATGGGGATGACATGAAACAGTGGATATTCTTTTTGGTCATATCAGTGAAAATATCACGACACTTGTTCATCAATGTTTCCGCTAGATTCTTTGAATTTGACATTACAATTTTATCATAAAAATGAGCTGAAGACTATCCTTGATATGAATGGTATTAAACCCGGTGGTACAAAGAAATAAAAGATCAAGGAAATATTCACCCATAAAGAAAGGTATTGGCAAAAAGACCACAAATTCAATGTGAAATGTCTTATTTACTTGAAATTCGAGTTTGCTTGAAAAAAGCAAGTGTTGATTACACACATTGTACCGGTCAACTCATTATCAATTGTCTGGTTGAAGTATACTTTCCGTAATGATGGTTTGTAAGCAATAAATAAATAAATAAAGTTATAATCTTCTTTCCGTCATTATAGTTTGTAATCGATAAACAAATAAATAAACTTATAATCTTGTTAGTTAAAAGATTAATGTGTCTTTTGTTTTTATTATGCCCAAAAATTTGAATTTACTGTTTAATGTATCATTCATGATTTTTTACATTTATTTAACCTTTTTGTTTAGAACTCACTTGATTTTTTTTGTGAATCATCATTGTTATTATTATTTAATTGATTTCTTGAAAATTCTTGTCTGAAGTGTTGAAACTATGGATGCTTAAAACTATGGGATTTAGATTCGATACACTAGTATTTTTCAGATGGATTCTGGTGCGCACTAAGTAGTCTTATTATTAGGCTATTTTGTTTGGGTTAGAGTTTCTAGAGTTGAGTGTTATAACTATCAAATCAATATTGTGTGCACTATATTTGTTTGGGTTATTTTTAAGAATAAAACATAATTTTCGCCATTTTAACACGAAACAATCAAAGTTTACACAAAAACTTAGATAGTTGAGAATACAAAGTCTTTTACAATACAAATGATTTCTTTAATTACATACATGTAGAATAATACATCGTTTCAGCCAAACATACATAGAATTTTCCTGCAATTTAATTAGTAGTTTAAAAGATTAATTGCAAAGGTTAATGATATACACTTTTATAAAAAACCAAAAAGTTAATCTTGTTACAATTTCTTTTTTTAAAAACAATTGATTACAAATATGTAATTTAAAGAGAAATGCTTCTTTAAACACTATTTTGAAGATTTTTATGAATGTGACCAAAACATTTTCTAGCAACACAAAAGAGGTTAGAGTCAAAATAAGGAGCAAGCATAAAGAATTTTGGAATTTCAACTAGCCCACTTAGCTTTAACCTTAAACTAGAAATCTAGTGGTAATTTTTCAAGTTACACTGAGACTTCAAGCGACTTATCTAAAGTTGCTTCTTAGAAGGCTATTTTGTAGAGATTTATGAATGAGTCAAGACATTTTCTAGAGTAGAAAAATATTTCAAATTCAAAATCAACGAGTAGTTAGAAGTTCAAATGCTCAAATTAGCTTCAGCATTAAATTAGAGACCTCATGATGATTTGCCAAGTTCCACTAAGACCCCTAGTAAAATATCAAAATTTGTTGGTAAATGATACTCTAAGGTCATTTCATTGTGATATGATACTACTTCTGAAGTTCATACAATGCCCTAATATGAAACTGATACAAGTGAAAATACATCTGTTGTCATTACAGTCTCAACAATTTAAACACACAGTACAACCCGAGTTTGAAATTGAAGTTGCAAAACCCTCACACATACTCAGTGCTGCAATATTTATCACATTACATCTTTCTCAAAGACGGTGTAATTTTCAATACTTGTCACATCATCTCATTTTCCTTGAGAATGCCATATTTCCCATCACAACAATCAAAATAACTCCATTTTACTAAATCATAAATCTTTTCAAAATTCACTATAAACATGATCAACTCCTTTTCAGTTTCTTTGCATCGTCTACAACTTTGTTCGCTATAACAATAACATTCTTAAATTGTTGGCACTTCAGGAAGCTGAGTGATCCTAAAATTAACATCACGAATAACTAGCATAAGGAAATTTGCGAGAACCTTAGACAAAACCTTATACATACACCAACTAAAGAAATCAATCGAAAATCAGACAATCTTACGGAATTAGTGGTTTCATGAAGTTTTTGAAATGAGAGGTTAAGAAGATTGTTTGAGATTGTTTTAGCTTCCAAAGTCCAAACTTATATGTAGTCAATTTTGGTTTATTAAACATTTTTTGTTTGATCCTAAAATTTATTTTTGGATAATGTGATGGGAAAAATGAGATTCACGTGGAGGTATAGGCCATGAATTATGGAGTGTACCCATTCAAATCCATCATTAGTTCTCGTCAACATTTGTCAAATTGAAAAATTCTTGATGAGGAGAAATTTGAGGCACAATGACCCAATATTCCTGGTTTCGTTTCTAATATAGGAATAAGGCCTAAATGTTATAACTAATGCTTCATGTAGTGGAGATCTTTTTACATATTACATGGCCGATACAAACTTTGAATTAATGATAGAAAACTGCGGGTGGAATTTACATATTGATTATGATGGAGATGGAATATAATTATCTTCACTTAGAAGGAGGAACACGTGGCACATTTTTCTCTCTCTCTTTTAGATAACATTGTTTTTCAATATAATGTTGTTGAGTATTGGATGTAGTAGACCCATGATCATGACGATGGTACTCACATGAAAGCCAACTTTACCCACTACTAAGACAAGAGCTCATATGGAACAAACATATGTTACTTAAAATGTCTTTATTGATACTAGAGATCATCAATAATAGGATCCCTTATAAAGATAATATGGAGAGACAATAATCGGAAATTGTCTCCTAATCAACTTGAATGGCCAAGGTGAATCAGAAGGTGACATAGATATTCGTGGAATGTAAAAAATGTTACCTATGTTCTTTCCAGACATGATTTTTGCCTCAATGACATGATTTGCAAATCTTGTAATAATTAATCTTGTTCCGTTGCATAACCCATCTGCTTGGTCCAAATTTCTCATTAGCATAATAGGTGTACCAACCTTCAATTTGATCCTATGATTGGGAAACGCCAAATAAGCTATTTAATAGCGCTTTTTTTTGTTTTTGATAGCGCTTAAAAGTGCTATTAACCGCGCCACTATTGTAAATATTTCTTATTTAATAGCACTTTAAAAGCGCTATTAAAGTACCAATTTATAATAGCGTTTTAATTAAAGTGCTATCAAAGTCAGTATTTTGCATGTTTTTTGTTTGTTTTTTTATAGCACTCTAAACAAAAAGCGCTAATATATAACATATGTTTGATAGCGCTTTCAAATAAAGTGCTAATAAATGGTACATATTTGGTATAATATTTTTAATAAGTACAGTACAATATTTTTTCTTACACAATCATTTTTTTTGGTGTAAATATAAAATAACTATATTCAATTCAACACAAATAACGTTTTAAGTTACTCATTGCATATATATTATGATCCATCAAATACCAAATAACATTTTAAATTACCAAATCCTATTGTTTCCAAATATCATAACATATAGAATATTAAGAGGGCGTTTGCATAGCCAAATTTGTAGATGCCCATCTATGAGTACTTCAATCCAACTAAGAATGGGATACATGTATCCATCTCTGTCCGATCTTTAACCGTATATTTCTACATAAACAAAACCATTTACCTTCTTTAGCTAAACATAATCTCACATGAGCATTGTTTGAAAAATAACTTGAGTAAACCAAGAAATTAAAATTACCCGAGAATCCAAGATGTTTTCAAGGTCTGATATCTGATACTTACAATCCAAAGTAGAAGAAATACCTAACTCATGACATAACGCAAAAATATTAAATATAGCATGTTTTTACACTCACAATCTAGACTCTGAGACTCTGAGTGACATTAGAATTATGAAAAGTACATAGTTTTAATCCTTCGAGTAAGAGATTAAAAAATAGAAGAAAAGAGCTTCTCTAGAACATAGGGCCCAATGGGATAAATAGTGCGATTCAAACTTATTCGAAAAATACACTAGCCGGAAAGCTTCAATATGTAAAGAAACAAAGCTTGTGGTTGTTTGTCAAAGTTAGCACATAAACAATTACCTCTTTTACCAATTGGTGATGCTGTCATCCCAAAAATCTTTGGCTTTACATTAGCTTGATGATAAAATTCCTTCAACAGTAGAAAACACAATAGTCATATGAAAATTTATTTTCCAAGGGTCTGTTTGGATAGCAATGGATTTTGCTCCCCTCCCAAAAAAACAAACAAACAGACAGACCCTAATATAAAAAGTTTAATGAAAGACAAAAGATAATGTATGATCAATGAAAATACAAGGAAAAAAAGTGTTTTCTAGCTCTCACCACCATTATCTTTGCATAGGGATGGTTGCCTGATGCTTGATGACACTCATCAATAACCATCAAGCATATCGTTTCTATACTCAGGAATGCTTTTCTTAAGGCATCCAAAAGAGTCTGGGGTGTCATAACCATTACCTATAAAACAGAAAGAGTTTGCATTAATGTTTTTACATTTACTACATTGCTTTTGTTTCATTGATTAACATTCCTTGTATAGACCATCATATAGTTACACATTTCAGAATGAAAGGTTTGCTGATTGATTGTATCAAACAAAAGTTTAATTACACTACAACCATGATTGACAGAACTAATTAAACATTCATTTGCTAACAAATCAGGTAAAAAACTTAATCAATTTACACACTTTCAGACTAATACCTCACTTCAAAAGAAAATAGGAAATTAAAAACTGGTCAAAGCACAGACCCCTGACACCCCACAGAATAATAGTACTCTGCTAGTAAGTACATTTTGACTCATTTGAATTTAACTGCTAACATAAGCAATTCTGAGACTGTTTGAAAAATCTAATGGAAACAACTTATAACATGTCCATAAGTTGTTTTTAGCTTATTTACATAAGCTCTCCAATATAGCTTATGAAAACAACATATAGCTTATTTTGAACAGTTCATTTTATTTTTTGTTCTAGAAATAGCTTGGACACAAACACTTATATGATAAGTGCGTAATTAACCAATACAATTCTATAATTAATTCAGCATAAGCTCAGAAACCAGTCAACACTGCAAATCAATGAAAATAAAATCACCGATAAACAAAGAAAGCAGTAGTAATTTTCTAACAAAGATAAAAGCATGTTAACAAACAAACATACATCATTGTCCTTAACTTCCTTCTGACAGCTCTCGAAATTCCATGTATCAACTCCTTTAGCCCCGTGATACTCCTCAACTTGAAGATCTGTGTTATGTTTAATATTCATGTATTGCTGCAATGTAGATAGATAGATGGATGAATGAATACACAAACAACAGTTTATAAATGAAAGAGTTACGAAAAGAACATAGAACATGCCTGATTGACCAAAACAATAGTTGGAGCTAAGAATGAATATTTAGGTCAGTCCAGTCATCTCAAACTATATAACATGACTACAGTGACATTAGATAATTTACCCTTATTGTGCCTAGTAAAACATGTTATATTAAAATTAATATAAAACACAGGAGAGAATCATATTGACATCGGGCTCTTACCTAAATTAATCAACAGTTTTTCATCAGCACTTGCATTTAAAAATAAGACAAACGAAGAATCAACTTACCAATGGAACGTTCTTCTTGAAGCCAACACCAAGATGAAAAATCTTTGCAAGTTGGTAGAAAGCCTTTGGTTGACCATTGTTGGCAGCCACTATAAAATATTTACATGCCAACCGCACATCTCTTTTCACTCCAATCCCCTTGAGAAACATGACACCTAGGTTATAATGGCCACCAACCTCGTCATTTTCAGCAGCCTTTTCAAAATACTCTTTTGCCTGTAATTCAGAAAAAGATATCATAAATTAAGCATAGACATACATAGACACACAATACCACCGATAAAGTGTGTCCCCATTCCATTCCCCAAAAATTTGAAGTCCATACAAACACAAAAAAGGCAAAGATGATCATACTTTAGTGTAATTTTTGCTGTCGACTCCATAGCCTTTGACATACAAATAACCAATCCCATTATAAGCAGAGTAGAGGTGATGCTTAGATGCTAGAGTAAGCCATTCAAAGGCTTTTGTATAGTTCCTCTCAACACCGGCTCCCCTGGCATATATCTCTCCGAGAAGCTCCATGGAGCGAGGCTCTCCCTTCTCCACTGCCTTCAAGAACCACGAAAGTGCCTTAGAATGGTCACGCCTCAATCCACGTAGCCCAAAGTAGTAAAAGAGTCCCACTTTGTACATAGCAGCAGCATTCCCTTTCTGTGCCTGATACTCGAGAATCTGAAAATCCTCATCCTCTTCCCCTTTAGATTTTCTAAGTGCCTCTTTGTTCTCTTCAGCTCCATTGTGTAGCCTAATAGGTTCAATGACGGGAGAATCTTTGGAAATGAGAAAACCATTGACAGCCACTTCTGCTAATTCAGCATAAAGCTTAACCGATTTATCAAACATCTACAACCATTCCAACATAATCAAAAACCCTAACATTATAATAGAATAGAATATAGAAGTTTATATATTAGGAAAAACAAGTGAACTCAATGTTTGATATAAACATATCAACCAAAGTGCTACACTCAGCTTCATCAAAATTACCATCTAAAACATCATAACTGTTTCTTGGTATTTCTCTAATGTCAGGCTCTCGATTAACATTGATTTCAACATTTTGCATTCCATCATTAACATTTGAACTAGAGATAAATGGATCAGAACTCAGTAAATCAACTAAAGTGCTCCACTCAGCTCCTTCAAAATAACTAACATTTATGAGATTCTCTATTGAATGACAATAATTGTTTTCTGGTATTTCTCCTATGTCTTCCACCGGATCAACATTCATTTCAATATTTTGCATTCCATCATTACCATTCTCTGCAGAGATATCAATATGTTGCACATCTTGTTCTTGTGTTGATTTTATACATGCTTCTAAGCTTATGGAGTTCAATGCAGCCTCATCAATTGCTTTTAAATTTTCAATGTTTTTGTATGCATCTTTCTTCACAATTTCAACCAAATTCTGTAAAATAAGCACAAACATATTCACTATTTTCCTTCAACTATAACAAAAGAGTTATTACATATTATCTAACTCTATGTATACCTTCTGGATGGGTGTGAGTCTGAGATCATCTGGTAAATAAAACTTTTGTGTATCAAATGTCACACCAACAAGTTCATAGATCACATTGAATAGAAGCAGTATTGGTTCTCCAATTATCTCATAGCTATAAAGCATATAATCATCTACAACACACGACCATGCATGTTCGATAATATCAGACCAGCATTTCTTCTGAATTTTTCCAAATTTCTACATCTCAACAGAAAAAACATTCAATTAAATTTTCCATTGAACGCAAAGATTTCACTATTTTTTGTCATCCGATGAAGTTGATTCACTTTAAAAAGTAAAGTAAGTAATGTTCGATCGTTAAAGAGAAACAATGATTTACCTCACGTAATGAAGATTCATTGGTTATGAATAACCTTAACAGATCCTTAACAGTATGAATTCCGTTGCTACGGAGTCGGTCACGGAATGGTCCTTTTTCAGAAATTTTCTCCAAACGCCACACATCATCCTTCAAGTATGGAGGATAATGTTTAAAAGCAAAACATAAATAAATTAGTAAAACTATGTTCTTAAATATATATATATATATATATATATATATATATATATATATATATATATATATATATATATATATATATATATATATATATATATATATATATATATATATATATATATATATATATATATATATATATATATATATATATATATTATGAATGTAATAATACAGTAAATATAAAACACATGTACCTGGTATCAAGTCTAATACATAATGATTGATTTTGTCCACAACTTCAATGGTTGAAGCAAGAATAGCCTTTCCTTGTAAGAATTCAACATCTTGATATTTTTCCAACAAATTGGGATATGTGTTTTCAACAATTGCTCTTATAGGATCATCAAAATTTGATATTAATAGCTCTTGAGGAATTTCAATATCAACCAAACCATCATTGGGTTCACAAATCTTACCATCACCCACATTTAAAATCCATTTTGAAAATTCCGCTAGTTCATTAGAACTTGTGTTGTCTCTTCCCTCTTGAAGTCTCATATTTTTTGATAGTGTTAAAACCTGGAAATAATCCCATACATAAGATGAACTAATTGATGCATGAACAATATCAGAACGCCCAGCTCTTGGAACAACAGGAAGAATCTGTCTAAAATCTCCTCCAAATACAACAACTTTTCCACCAAAAATAGTATTCTCAACACCCTTTTTGCTCCTTACATCTTTAAGGGTTTTATCCAATGCTTCGAAGCAGTTCTTGTGAGACATAGGTGCCTCATCCCATATTATCACATCCGTTGCTTCAAATAATTGAGAATGTTTGGTGTCTTTGTCGATGTTGCAAGTTGAGTTGTCAAGCGTTGGCACATGTATTTTGAACTTTGAGTGTGCTGTTCTTCCACCCGGAAATAATAACGAAGCTATCCCACTTGAAGCAACAGTAAGAACAATTTTTTTTTGAGAACGAAGTGCACTTGATAGTGTTCTCCACATGAAAGTTTTACCAGTCCCTCCGTAACCATGCAAGAAAAATACCCCTCCACTCTGTTTGTTAACAGCATCCATGATTTTCTCAAATATCAAACGTTGTTCATCTATAAAATACAAACCAAGAATTATAAGTGCAAGGACAATAAAAATCATTTTTGTAATTCATAGTATAAAGAAAATAAATCACCTGTAAGGGCATGAAAAAGTTCTTGGAATTTCTGTTTCTCGGTATCGTAATTAAGTTCGTCATAAATAAGCCTATTGCCAACATGTTTTGTGATGTATGAATCTGGATACGGCATACATTTAAATTCATGCAAACTTCTTCGATTCGATTGCATCATGTTCTCAATCTCAATTAGTGTGAGATTCTTTAACTCATTGTCCGATAGTTGCAATTCTGTTAAAAAATTTTCATTAGTTTTCTATATAATTACATATGTATGATGCAACTGATGTCGTGATGTTGAAATACATTGAACATAAATCAAACAGTTGATGTTGCGGCTGCGTGAAATTAAATGGAACCAAAGACACTGTTGCAGCTGCAAGTTAAGAAAATAACTTACATACATGACAAATGACAAATATGAAAATGTTTCTTACGTAAATGGACATACCTTATGAAACATATTAAATAAGGGACATATGGATGAAGAATAATTATATTTTAAAGTAAGTTCATATCATTATATTTTGTAATAAAAAAAGATACAGCTTGCATTCGGAAAATAATATTTGTTGACTTAAAAAAGTTTAATAAAGTGTTCATACCTCTTCTATTTGTTTTTTGCCTTTGTTGGTAGAGGATACCATCAGATAACGTCCTCCAAGTTTTTTCCCAAACATGTCGTGGTCTATTGACAGTACCGGATAGTAACATAGTGACAAATAACTTTCGTAAAAAATGCCCGGAACCCCAATTCTTTGCTTCGTCGATGGCTGCAACATATTCCTTGTCATCGTTAAGAAAGCCCATTTCGAAGCATGCATCCCTAAAAGAATCCTGAACTTTTCCACCCACAAATTTTATATCCTCATAGCAAGTTGGACCTTTGACGACTGTTAGCATCATTCTCAAGAAATATAACTCACCCGTACTTGGAGGGACCCAAATAAGTCTACCAATTGTATTTCCTCTTTTACGCGGTCTCCATCTACGGTATCTTTTATCATAAACAAATTTGGAAAGAAATTGTGAGTACGTCAAATTCTTTGCCTCTGGGTATGCTTTGTTTGCTTCCATCCATGCCGTAAACATAGATTCTTTCACAGTTGGTTTGTCAAGCACCTCATCTATCAATTCATAATCGGTATAATAAACAGAGTTGTCTCCTTCAAGATGAAAGAACAACCTTTCAACTGCGGGTGATCTACCATGAATAGGAAATGAAAAAAGTCTCCAACATGCCTCACTTGGTGAGATATATCTGCAATCAAGATATTGCTTGATTTCGTCAACCATTCTGACCGAGGGAGATCCATCACCGTCAGTTTGGACAACAGCAACAGTAATTCTATCATACCCCTTGTTAATATACTTAAATAAGTATTTAACTGAAGTACTTTGATTACACCACTCCATATTGATGTGTGCTTGGAATTTCTTCAACAAATATGGATTGTAAGGAACTACATATCTGTTATCAAGTTGAACGTGTTTTTTCAGCACTGTATTACCAGTTTCTCTTCTTCGGTACACGGGATATCCATCCTGATCAACAATGGTTTCGGTTTGATATTTCTTTGGAAAGTATTTTGAGCACTTTCCATTTTTCATGCAAGTTGAATTCGCATTTGCTAAACCACATGGGCCATGAATCATATGTGTCTTGACCAAATGGTAGAGTTGCCTATCATCTTCTTCCGTTGGTATCTCTGCTGAAATGATCTTGTTTATATCATCTGGAGTCGGATACTTGCTTGAAGGATGCAAGAATAATAGTATATGGGCGTGTGGTAAACCCCGATTTTGGAATTCAATGGTGTATATATCTGAAATTAAGTAAGTTTAAACTTAGTAAAACGATGCATATTACATATTTAATAAGATTAATGTCAAAAAATATAACTCGACTGAAAGGGTATTAAATTGACTTACATGCAATCACTCTCCCTAACACGTGCTTTTTTGTTAGATCACACAACAACTCATCGAACTTAATTTTGAAGACTCTTGAGATGATATCTGGACGGTCTTGAGAATTCAAGTTAATTTTGCTAAGCAACCTTTGGATTTCAGGCCAGTTAGGATTGCAAGTAAATGTGATAAGAAGATCTGGAAATCCAACTTGGCTACAAATTGCCATTCCATCAAAATAGAGTTGTTCCATAAATCTCCGACTTCCAACATAAGTTGAAGGTAAAACCACTCTTTTACCTTTGTTTGATCCTTGAGTGTTTGCATTCTGTTCAGATGAGCTCAAATTGCAATATTTAGAAACACACAGCTTTTTCTGATGTTTTCGAATATAATTCAATCTTTGTGACTCCATCATAGTAAATCCATCAACCAAAAATTGTTGAAACAACCTTCTTGACCGCAATATAGTTTGTGCCTCGTTATATCTGCATTGAATCCTAAAAGCAAGCCATTCTCTAATGGTAAGCTTATTCCTCTTCATTTTTTTTGGTATTAGTTTCTCTAAGAAGAACTCCAAGTCTAAAACCATCTTTCCCATAAGGAAACAAAAGTGGATATTGATATGCCAGATAACTTGAATGAAACTCACTTATTCTTTTTAGCCTTCCTCTCTTTCTTTCAAGAAGAATATCCCTCTTAGAACCCGTATCAACATCACCAACTATTAGGGCAGCTACCTCCGAAACAGTAGGTTGGTTATAAATCCTTCCATCTGTTGATCTATCAGATATTAGCTTAAGCTTGAGATCAGGAAAAGGACAATCCTTTAATCTATCTGCTTCCATCCTAAAAGATTTGGCATGTGTATTGAACTCATCTAACATGTCCTTCAATCTACTAACTGTTTCTGGAATAATATTGGGGTTGTTCCTGCATATAAAAGGAAATACTATGATGCATCAATGAAAAATATTTAATATGTTGTAAAGAAAACAAAGTTTGGTAAAATTACCCAATTCCTTTAATTCTATGTTGAATCTCATTGTCGGTGTCGTAAACATACAGTTGAGCAAATTTTGGAGATTGTCCAGTTAAAGGTAACATGCTCCCAATTCGATGGCAAGTCTGTCCATGAATTCTTATGTTAGGTGGTCCACTTCCAGCTAAAAATCTGTTGTCGAATTTCATTCCCGGAGACGTAAAAGAAAACATCATGTTGTACATTCTACAAAATTGTTGATAATTTCGATTGTCTATCTCACTATTATCAAACAAAAGACGTTGTAGTAATAGTGGTGGTGTTTTCAGAAGTGGCAACACAACTTTCCCCTTTCCACAACATAGTTGAAACTTAGGAACTGCACTATATTTTCGCTTGTCAGTTTTTTCTTGATACCACATAAGTGCCCCACATTGTGTGCATTCAACTATAGGATCACCAATATCAGAATAACCTATTTAAATGAAACGTAGTTGAGCAATTGGTTTATATTAAATAATAAAATTATAACTAAAATCGTTCATATTAAATAATAAAATTATAACTAAAATCCACATTAAATCATAGCAGGTATCAAAGTGCAACATGTAATGGACAACGTCAAATTGATATGTATAATGAATTTAAAGAAGAAATAAAGTTGGTTTTAATGATAAATACCAATATTTAAAGAATCAAATGATGTAGAATTGGAGCCATAGACATCTTCGTCATCATAGCTGGAACTTGAGTCATAATTTGCATCTGCGGCATTGAATTCACATGAGCTATCACTGAGAGAATCATCTGTTACCGTCTCATCACCAGAGTAATCACTCTCAATGTTAACATCTGGAGTTGAAGTGAATGTTGTGGGTTCTTGTATAGGAATATTGCTTGTGGATGAAAAAGCCAGATTATGATTCTCATTTCCAAAATAATTGAAGAGTTTGACCGTCATGGATTGAATAACACCTACATTCAACTGTTTTTTTTATTTATGAACATAACTACTTGGATGTTCATGAGGTTCCATATTTCTTTGATTAGAAAATGAGGAAGTTATATCAGAAAGAGGTGTAACAGTCAACTGTTTTTTTGATTTTTGAATAGAACAACTTGGCGGTGCATGAGGTTTTATGTTTCTTTGGTTAGAACATGAGGAAGCTATATCAGAAAATGGTGTTTTGAAATGCGAAAAGGATGGAGAATTTATCCTGAAAGGACCCCCACTGTTATTGCTAAGGTTGTTATGAAGTTTGTAAGATTGGGGCATATTACCTTCCATAATACTTTTCCTCCGCTGTCGTACTGAAGCAGCCAGTTGATTTGTAGAAACAATATTGAAACTCTTCATTGTACTTGAGTTGCTTGATGCAGATGCTGGTGAAGGTGAACTCATATTTCTTTCATTAAAGATTGATGAAGTTAAATCAGATAGTGGTGTTCTGATATTAACCATGGTTGGAACATAATACCTTTGAGAGTTTTCAATGGGATTGATTGTGTTTTCATCAGTTCTTCCTTTTTTCAATCTTTTATCTTTAAGAATCTGCTTCCTTTTACGTCTTGCCATTGCTGCAACTTGTGGTTCCATAGTGTTGGTTAGATCAGATAGTGGTGTTCTGATATTAACCATGGTTGGAACATAATACCTTTGAGAGTTTTCAATGGGATTGATTGTGTTTTCATCAGTTCTTCCTTTTTTCATTCTTTTATCTTTAAGAATCTGCTTCCTTTTACGTCTTGCCATTGCTGCAACTTGTGGTTCCATAGTGTTGGTTAGGTGATGTTTAGATTAATGGGTAGAAAATCACTTTGATTGTATGATTGTCATTCAATTTTTTTTTGTTAACCACATAAAATGATTGTAGACATAAAATGAATAAAGTTTTTGGTTATATGATAATAAATATAATTGTTAATACAACATTCACGGTTCCAAGATTTTGAAGTAAAATACTGAAGTCAACAGAATACCAAGTGATTATTTTTGTGAACCATTTTAATTATTAATAATAATAATTAATAATAATAATAGCGTTAAATAGTGTTAAGTGTTATTTCAAAATTTAATTAAAAATGTTATAATTATGGACAATCAAGTACCAATAAGAAAATGTAACTTTCCAGATTCTAACCATTCTGCCAATTAATCTTGAATTGAAAAGAAAAGCAATGGTCAGAAAAAATCATTATAGTTTCACTTTGGAAACCGAAAATGAAGTGCATCATGAATAGTAACTACTCAAGCATGCATTTGATAGGTTTGAAACGTTTTTTGATATAGCCATACCATATTGATTTTAATTGTATTCATTATTAAAATGATTGTATCAATAATTTTTTATTTTATCATAAATTTTTATGATTATCATTTATCATTAAATTTTCATGATTACCATTTAATATTTTTTTATCATGATTACAATTATAAAGTTAATTTGAAAAAATTATGATATATTTTAGTTATTTCATAACCTTAAAAAAATTATCAAATCTCAATTGATTTTGTTTTGTTTTATTAACCTTTTTTATAGAAATTGAAATAATTTATTTTAGGTCAAATAAGGATCTAAATAATTACAAAATAATATTTATTCTTACATTTATAGAATGATAAATTAAATATTTAAGATAAACATTAGAGTTCTTATTTACTTTATCTTTTATATATTTATAATATACTTTTTTGTTAATTTTATTAACAATATATTTATAGTTAACAATACATCCTTTAAACTACGTTATTTTTTTCAAGAATATAAATGTAACCTTTCAAAAAAATATACACAAATATATTAAGAAGTCGGTAGAAAATTTTATTGGTTAAATTATAATTCCATTCAAAATTTATTGATTATAAATTTTTGAAATCAAATCATGCATAAAAATAAAATGTATTAATGTAACCATTCAAAATATTTATTTTATGGAATCAAATCATATATAAAAATTAAATATATTTATGTCACCAATAATTTCCATATAAGTATAATAAAAATAAATGATAATAATGTCTCCATTCAAAAGATATATTGGTAAAGTATCAAATTAAATGGTACTCCAATATTTGATTAAAAAATTGTAATATTTATTTTTAATATTGTATAAAAATATATTAATTAGTCGTACTTTAAAAAAATAAATCGTAAATATTTTATTAAAAATCGTAAATATTAAATATTTTTCAGTTTATTGTGAATTTTCAATAATTAAATATTAATGATATTATATAAAATTAATTTCATGAAATAAATTTATTTAATAAAGTGTTATATAAATATTTAATACATTATATTATACCATTAATTTATATAAAATGATATTAACTTATTCCTGTTTATAAAATTATTGTAACTTTTTTCCGGTTTATAAGCATGTTGAATTCGTGTGTCCATTATTAAAATATATGTAATTTACTATTATTGATATAAATAATTTTATAAATAGTTTAATTTATTACATTTATAAAATTATTTGTAATTTATTCACCTTTATAAAATTAATTATAAATTATTTAATTTATTAAAATGATTGTATTAATAATTTTTTATTTTATCATAAATTTTTATGATTATTATTTATCATTAAATTTTCATGATTACCATTTAATATTTTTTTATCATGATTACAATTATAAAGTTAATT